GTTTGACTTGTGTTACCCCTTTTTCTTCGAAAGATCAGTGTGTGTGTCCCTCGCAGGATTCAGAGGTGCAGATCGCCACTTTTCTGAGACATGGAAACACATGCAACGCCGTCGCTCCACCAGGCGGTCCCCGTCAGGTTCTTCCACTTCGTTCCTGCGTTGTTTGAGGCGACCAGCCTCAGGTCCCCGTTCATGTCGGGGCGCTTGTACTGCTTGGCCGGCCTTGGCCGTGTTGCAGACCACGTTGCCCGTGTTGCCGGCGATCGCCAGGCAGCCGGGGTTCCTCTGGTTTGTGGCGAGGGGCAGCTGCGTCAAGAGGCTCTTCGTCTGGACCAGCGCTTTGTCGTTGATCATGATGAGCTCGCACTGGTGCGCCCGCCGCCGTGCCAAGGAAGGTGCCGGTGACGCCCACGTAGTCGTTGTCGGCAGCGCTGACGTACATCACCAAGTTGGAGGCCGTGCCCAGCCGGCGCCGGCAGCCGAAGGAGTAGCGTCTCCCCGGCGTCATTAGATGTTCCAGCGAAGGCGCTCAGGGTCATGGCGTAGCCCAGCAGCAGGTCCAGGCGCGGAGCCACGACTTGCTACCCATATACTTCAGCTGCATGCGGTCGGCCTTTAGTTTTAGGGGGTCGGGCCGTCGCAAGACCGTGGCTCTGATCAGCATGATTCTGGAGCAGTGTCGTGGCGTTTTTGAGAAAATCTACCTGCTCTTCATCCGAGTCCGGCGCATGCAAATCAGCAGCTGGGTGAGCTCTCAGAAGCTGAGGCTCATCAGCGCCGCCGTGCGGGTCAATCAGCAATTCCTCTGCTGCTGGAGGCTGCGCAACCAGCACGAGCTGGACGCCGTCATCGAAGAGCTGAGCGCCCTGCTGCCGAAGGACAAGCTGCTAGTCCGCCCCGGGACCGTGCAGTCGTTAAGGAAAAGGATGACGACCATCTACGTGGACAGCCGCAAGGGGCACGGTGAAGTACATCTTGTCCGTGCTCCAGGTGCCCTGGTCCACGATGTTCCACGGATTCACTGCCAGGGTCAGGGGTCCACGCTCACTGCCCCCACGGTGTGCGTGGCCAAGACCACGCTGCAGCCGCCGCTGGGACGAACCGACCACTTTGTTTGTGGGGCCCAAACGGCCACCACCTCGTCGGCCCCGCCGTTGTCCGGGAAGCGCACGCCTGTCTCCAGGGCCAAGACTCCGAGCTTGGCCGTCCACCTGCGCGATGGTGTGGTGGCTGAGCAGGGCAGCGGCGATGCTCGAGGCTGGTGCCGTGTCCTGGTCGGCAGCCGAGCAGTACGCCACCAGCGCCGAGGTGATCTGGTTGGTCGTGAACACGTCCTGGTCCAAACCCGTGCCTGCAGCACTAGTCTGGGGCTCGAATCGTGTCGTGTCTTTGCCCATTAATGAACCAATATTGCCCCATGAATGAATCAATATTGACTCAATATTGCCGTGATTTTGAGCCCTGGAAGCCTCCAGAACCGTTCTCTGAGCGAAAAGAAAGAGAGGTCTTCAAGTGTTCGGGAAATTGGCCGTTTTGTGGCCTTTTTCGGCCCAAAAGCTAGGGGTGACAAGGGGTGACAAGCTCGGCAGGTTGGCGTGTGAGGACCCTGTGTTTTGGCTGAAAAAAACGCACTTTTAGGAGCGTGTTAGAGGAGTGACAAAAGGGTGACAAGCTCGGCATGTTGGCGTGTCAGGACCCTGGGCTTGGCCGAAAACATTCAGCCGTCTGGGTTTCCCGCCGAATCAAAGAATCATCCTGTCGCCAAAGCCTTGCTGTGCTCGGTCAACCTTCAAAAGAATAGCCATTGCTTTCTGAATAGGGATAAATTGGCTGTATTTAGAGGGCCTGTGGTTTGCGCAATTATCAAGTCAGGTTTCAGAGCAAAACAGACAAGAACAAAAAACAGAAAAACCTGAAAAACATAAACTTCTTTTATTAAATATCTAACTATATTTCTCTACAGAAAAAAGTCTCGTTAAGGCCTGTCGCACTGCTCTTAGCTTGAACCCAAACAACCCTCACATCAAAGAACCCCGCAAATCCAAAAGGCGAGCACTTCTTTTTCACGGGTTGCTTGAAAGTTGCACTGCCTCCAGGGCACGCGGAGCACCTGCAGCAGAAGGAAGCACTGTCCCCCTGTGAAACTTGAAAGGGGCCAGACAGGCGTGTCCTGGCTTTGGCAGCGCAGGCACACAGCGTGGCAAGCGTGACCACGCTGGTGTGTGCGGCGAGGGTACCGCGTGTACAGCCCTGAGAGGAGCAAGGGCAGGCGTGCCCAAGCCAAGGCTTGAGGTGCAGAGCGTCTGCATCCTCGAGCCAGCCTTGTGAAAGGCTTAGTAGGGTGGGAGGGTGGGTTTCAATCGAAACCAGCGGTTTGAGTTCAAGGCTAGGAGCAAACGGGCCACCGCGTATGAGATTCACAACAGGCCCTAAACACAAGGGAAAAGAAAACCCAAAGCGTTAAGGCCTGTCGCACTGCTCCTAATTTGCGTTTTTTGGCCAATTTTAGGGCCCTAACACGTCAACCCGCTGAGCTTGTCACACCTTGTCACCGTTTGTCACCCGGCACAAAACGGCCAACTTCCCGAATTCCTGAAGACCACGTTTTTTTTCTCGGTCAGACTGCAGTTTGGGGCATATGCCTATCGATTCACGTTTTTGGGCCAAAAACAGGGTCCTGACACGTACGCCCCTCTCGATTTCCGCTTTTGCCCCGAAAAAGCTGCAAAAATCCATCCTGCGGTGCTTATCACACTTTGTCACCGTTTTGTCACACCTAGCTTTTGGGCTGAAAAAAGGGCGCTAAACGGCCAATTTCCAGATTTCCCGAAGACCTTGTTCTTCAGTAAATTTTCTGTGATTGAACAAGCGATTCACGAGGGTTGCGCGGTGCTTGACAGACTGATTGCGTAGCGGCAGCCAGCTGTGTCTGTTGGTCCCTCTTTAGTCAGCAGCGCGTGAACATGTTGAACTGCTGCTCCAAAGAAAGTTATCAGCCGCAAGCTTTCCAATTCAAGCGGTTCCCCACTTGAAAGGGGCGATTTTTGCCAGACTTTAACCCGGTGCTTCGGCTGGTTTTCTCTGGGTTGCTGCATGTGAGCGGATGACACAGGCAAAGAACGAGCTTGTCAGGACGTGCATCAGCATTGCTGTGCCACAACAGAGGGGCATTCGTGCAAAGCAATGCAAGTTGCATTCAGTATAGTGAAATGCCTGTGATGACAGCATGTTTGAAATTGTTCGCTTGTTTTGCTAATTGGACATTAAATGAGCAGTAGTCTTCATACACTCCCAAGCCAATGGTATAGAGCTTTGATTTTGACTGGCTGAGTGGCATCATGGCTTGCGCTTTTTGCTGCCCCACGTGTTTTTTGAGAATGGCGCAGACATATGCAACATGGAGCTAAGACAGGGAAGCTGTAGAATCATCATAGAGTGCAGCGACTGAAGTATTTCATGGGAGCAGTTGGTGCCATTGGTGACTGTGGTGACACCTTTTTGATTGACCAACTGGCTGATTTCGGTGCTTTGTTTTCATGTGACCACTTTGGTAGGATTTGCGCTCCAGCATGTTCTGGAGTGACGTTTTACAGATGATAGATAGACACAGCGCCCAGTGGCATTTAGTCTCTGATGGCGAACCTATCCGTGCCTGTGCTTTGGGCAATTCCGTGCTGGTTTTGAAGGGCTTCAGAGTTCAGGTTCGGGACCAGGTTGAAGGTTTAGGCTGATCCTTCAGGCCCGAGCTTTAAAGCAGTGATTAGGCAGAGCCCAGCTCTATGACGCAAAAACCACGAGTCGTTTCGTTGTGGCCCCGACCTCCACTAACTGAATGAATCTGCAGCTGTGATGCTGAGGCCCGTTCACCTGGTCAGCGCTTTGGTGCATGACTACCCCTGCGACGAGAGGCGCCCATTTCTTATGTCCAGATATTCCAGGACTCACAAGTTGCACTTCTGCAGGCGAGGCTCGCGCCAATGATGCAACTAGTGACACCGGCCACAAAACAAGTCAGAACTGCCATAGAACAAGAGAGCTGTTCGGCTTGCCGCTTTCATAGTGAGGGCTTCATCCTCTTGTTCCCGGTTGCCCTGGCACCCGAAACGCACTGTCAAGTTTCATTCGTTAAACTTGGACAGCGTTTGGCGGCGGATGGTTTTGTCCGTTTCTTCCAGATGCTACTTTGAGCTCCCTGGCATCGTTGCACTGTTGCCTGGCTTTAGGTGTGCCATGGTCAACATATATGATTGTTGGCTGCAAGTGAAGGTGTTAAACCTTCTTGCAGGAAGTCTGACGGGTGTATTTTTCAGGTTCGCAGTGAACAAGTCCATCGCTGCGGTGAGCTTTACCAAGTCCCACGTTGCCAGCTGAGCCTTCTGAGGCGAGGCATGCTAAGCCAGAACCCCTCCAAATTTGGGATGTATTGTTCACGTCAGCCCGAGAGGCGGGGTGTTGGTACAAAGGACACAGCATGGACAATCACGAAAGCCTTGACGGCGCTCATGACGTTGTTGCGGAAACTCGGACATTGTACATTGATTCTTGGCTCAATGAGCTCGTGGTGAGCATAGCGAAAACAGCCTGAGCGTGCATGATGATATGCCAGCTGTTGCACGCATGCTTGCCCCAATTTTCATGGAGTCGTGAGTGCGTGCTTTACTTGTCCCACCCTGGCGAAAATGAACATTTTCTTTGAGCATGTCTCGGTATCTTCAGCCAGCCAAACATGTCAGTGCGCCCTCGCATTTTAACTTGGCAACCGTGAGGTGCTTGTCACCACAGGCAGGCTGAGTAGAGCGACTGTCAAGCGTGCCTTTCTGCTCCATCACTCGCGACTGACGAAACTGATAGCCAGAAAGCGTGAGCAAAATCGATAGAAGGGGCAACAGCGCAAATTGGACACAGACATTATCACAGGTTGGCAGAAATGCCAGGAGACAATGTGCAAGCCATAATGCAAGCAATCTGAGGCGAAATTGAGAGCTTATGAAGCCACGGACTTGAAGATGAATTGATGGCAGGCATTAAGGTGATTTCACGAGACGATAAGCTAGTACAGAAAGCAAGTGCCGTGGGCGGAGCGTGCTAGCAACTAGAAGTTCACGTGATGCACAGCAAAGGACCATTGATGGTCAGTGCGTTGTTTGGGCCCAAGAGCAACACTGGCAGCGTTTCTGTTCAACTTGCAGAATAGAACAGAACGCTGGAGAGCAATGATTGTGTCAAATGTTCCAAAGAAGACCCGGCTGTGCACTTTCCACGAGCGCGGGAAGTGTAGCAAGGGACGACTTTGCACCTTTGCGCACAGCGTTGAGGAGTTGCAAGGCACGCCGGCCGCTCAGCCTCTTGGAAGTCATGGACGCTCAGTACAGGTTTGCCATCACTTCCAGACGCAGCGACGCTGCAAATATGGTTCCGAATGCAAATTCAGTCATGTGAGCTCGAACGACAGCGATTCTGCAACCAGAGGACCTGAGATTCAAAGGCGGCCGCTGAAAACCCAGCTGTGCCGCCATTATCAGCAGGGCAGCTGCCGTCATGGCTCGGATTGCACCTATGCCCACGATGAGCATGAGCTGCAAGCGCCGAAGCCAGGATCGGCTTTGTTGCGCGCTTCGGGGAATGTGCAGAGGGAATCCCTGGAAAGCTGGTTGAGGCTTGTGGTTGCGGAGCCAAACCCCGACCTACAAGAAGCAGCCCTCTCCAAGGGAGCTGGGCAGCTTGCAGGTGGACTTCATGCGCTCAGCTTGTTGAGCTTAGAGAATGTGGTGTCAATTCTGAGGAGCGCGCAAGGGTCGCTGAGAAGGGACCGCTTGGAGTCGACGCTGCGTTCTCTGGGCGGAGCATTGTGCGAGGCTCAGATTGTGTCCCGTTGGTAAGCCTTCCTTACCACCAGAATGGTCAGCCCTTTTGTGGAAACTTTGGGCACTTCATGGCCAAGAATTGGTTGTGTTCTGAGCGGTTTTTGGGACGGATACTTCAGGATGCCAGAGCTGCTCCAGAAGTATGCCTTGGAGGTTCCGACAGGAAAGAAGCTTGACGAGTTGCTGGAAGCCTTGTCCATCATGGTTGAAGTTGAGCGGAGGTTTGGGGCTTTGCTGGATCTTCCCTCTGTCCGTGACGGTATTGAGCAGATTGTGGCGACTCGTGGAACGGAGGATTCGCCAGGGCTGTGGGCCCAGCTGAAGGCTGTGCAGAGTGGCGCGAGTCCATTGAGAAAGGTGGTGCGCCGGCAGGTCGCAGAGGTGGAGCTTCAGGACGTGGATGTCCAAGAGCTGCCCTGCATTGATGAGCTCTTGCAGCTTCCCAGCAACCTTCCGGTGAACCGCGGCACGTGGGCTGAAGGCGACGAAGAAAGGCACAGGATTACCCACTACCGCCTTTGCCGCGAGGAGCTCTTGGCTCCTCTTCGAGAGGCTGTGGCTTCGTATTTGGCCTCTAATGGGGTGAAGCATCAAGGCATGCAGAGGGTTTTGGACCAGACTGGCGGTGAAAGCACATTCTTCGCATATCCGAGCTGCCATGCCGTGGGCTTTGCCTTGTCCAAGACTGGGAAACTAACTGTCCAAATGAAGTTCGGTCTTGGCAATCGTTGCGTAGACTTCAGCACCGGGAACCACTTGATTTTTGGAAGCTTGGTCTTGCTCTTCGAGACCAACAGCGATGGCCATCCGATCGCCAGCAGCTCCATCTATGCAACGATTGAAGAGTTTGATTTAGACAACGTGCTGCGACATCGAACAGTGGGACTCGGAATGCTGGATGAGGAGAATTGGCGAAAGTTCAACGTTACTCAAAAGTATGCGATGGTGGAAAGCCCTGGCTACTACCATGCTGTGCGGCCAGTGCTGCGCAAGTTTCGCAGCCCCATTGATGCCACACCCTTGTGGCAGGACATTTTGACGGGCAAGGCCAAGGCTGTGGACTATTTCCAGGGTGCTCGGGTGGACCTCTCTTGCCTCTACAAGAGAGAGCTCCCAAAGCAAAGCCATTGGGCTTGCTGTGATCCGCAGCACGAATGGCCTGACCCTCACGACATTGAGCTGGACGCATCTCAGCAGAAGGCCATTCGACACATCCTCGCTTCTTCCGTTTCTTTGGTGCAGGGACCGCCGGGCACTGGGAAGTCCTACATTGGCGTGAAGGCCGTCCAACTGGCGCGGCAGGCTCTGGAACAGCATGAGTACCGCGAACCCATTGCCTTGATATGCCTTACCAACCATGCTTTGGACCAGTTTTTGGAGGATCTTCTGGACATTTTCCCTCGGAATGGTGACTTGATACGCCTCGGCGGGCGCAGCAAGTCAGAGGACCTGCGTGTGCTGGTGTGTAAAATGCGATATAGTCTCCCCTGCCCACCTTGCCAAATCTCATACCTGAAGGTGGGCATGTGTTGACCCGCCTGGACTAAGAAACATCAACACCTGGACCCACGCTTTTTTCCGCTCCTTGCCCACACAAGCCACACTTAATATAGATGTCCAGGCAAATCTCCACTGATTTGCGCACACTTTCTGTTTAAGTGAAATGGCCATAGGTACTTTGCTGTCAGGATCCTCGCCTGGCGGGCTGCCAAGTCAATAAATTCCTGCGATCTTCCCGGGAAGACTTCGAAGAAAGGACAGCGCTGGAGAGCCAGCTGGAAAACGTGGCCGGCAACCTCAACAAGGCAAGGGCTGAAGGGCAAATGCAGGTCCATATGTCCGTCCCAAAGCAAAAGCTAGTGTGAAAGATGACATGGGCGGACTGTGTTGACTTGGAAATTTGTCCCCCTGTCGGGCGTCCTCGCCCGAGGAAGTACGCTTGCTCGCCGACCAACGATGCCAGCTCGGTCTCCTCCTGGCGGGCATGCCGACAGAAAAGCTTCACACACTTTTGGGAGAGGTCGGTGCAACGCTCAGAAGCTTTAGTCTTGCAATGTTGCTGACAAGCCTGCGTGCTGTCCTTTGACGTTGCTGTATCTTGCCTTCCCTTGAGAGCCCCTCCCCTGAAGTTGTGGCTGGAAGTTTTTAGCCACAGCATGGCCCACTAAGGTGCAGATTTGATGGAGGCAGGGCTGTATATGGCTCCGCACAGTCGTCGCCGAGTCCAACAGGCAAACCCGAAGGGCTTTGACGGAGGCTTAGTTGCTCCACTGCTTTCTGGGGACTTGTCACTTGGAAGCTGCGCTGCGCAGCTCCCCAGTTGTGTTCTCCCAGCCTGCTGCCATTCTAGTGGCTCTTGTTTCCGATGTTGCTTTCTTGCTGAACTGCCAGCTAGCTTGCTCCCGACAGCTTGCTCTGACCGCTCATCTACTTAACCAGTTTTAAGGCTGTTTCCGTACGTGTGCATCTGCTTGTGTAGCCTACTACACTCAGCAGTTTGCCACTTTGCTTCCTTGCTGGATGCTTGTGCGCTCTCGGTGGCCTCCGAGAATGAGAGAAAGTCCATTGTCCTGCTTGTGTTGTTTCTTAGCATCGCCGCAGTTGCAGTAGCTGTTTGGGATCCTGGTCTTAATATTGATCCCTTGACATCTGCATTGGTACCTCGGTCTCGAGCCGAGGTGTTGGAGATACTTTCTGCTTGGCTGGAAGGCCGCCCCCTTGAGCAGGTGAGGCAGGATGCGTCCTGGCGTTTGCCAAGCGTCAGCAAACCCAAGACCACGGAGACCTTCAATCGCTTCTCGACCCTTGCTGCTGATGAGGGGGAACTTCCGAGCCAAGTCCAAGTACTGACAATGATCGATCGTGAAGTGGGAGCTTTGCCAATGATTGCCTGTGAGACCAGTCATCAAGTCATGCTGGACTTTGAGGACTCTGACTCAAACTCCGACGCCGACCTCGAAGGTTTCGAAGGTTTGGACATGGATGAGATCAACACGATTCTCGACGATCGCATGGACTCGCAGGTCTCGCGCCCTCGGGCCCAGCAACGAGCTCGTTCGCAGCTCACGGGCCCACAGCTCGACGCCAAGATTCAAGACAGGAGGACCGCGTTTCAGCGGGCGGAAGGTTGGGAGAGAGAGGTGCAGCAGGTTGAGCTGCGAAAGCAGGAAGCAGTGAGTGCTGCGCTGGAGAAGGCCACTAGCCGCAGAACGCAAGCTTCCATGAAGCAGTTGGAAGAGGACGCGGCCAGGCCTTTTGAGCTGCGCTTGCAGCGCCTGCTGCAGCAGAGGGAGGACTTGCAGAACTCCTGGCAGAAGGCTCGGCAGCAACTGAATGTCGAGATGCTACGCGCCCTGCAAAGGGACCAGAAGAAGCAATTTCCAAATGTGGACTGGAGCTTCATCGAGAAAGAGATCCGAGGTGCCCAGGTAGGCTGGCGCACAGCGACGCACGAGCGGCCTGCTTTGCTGGCATCTTTGGTCCGAGCAGTGGCTGAGGCCGCCTCGGAGGTCTTCATGGAAGGCCTGAGCAAGGCTGAGCAGATTGAAGGCGTGCTCGGCCAGATGCGGAAACAGGCTCAGCTGATTGCGTGCAATAAAGCCAAAGTCATCGGCATGACCTCCACCTTTGCGGCGGTAAACTCGGACCTCCTCCAGCGGTTGGGTCCTCGCGTAGTGGTCGTGGAGGAGGCTGGAGAGTTGCTGGAGTGCCAGTTGATGGCCTGCTTGTCATCAAGAAATCTGCAGCAGGCGGGGGGCCTTGTCACTTTGCGCACGTCTAAGATGGGGTGGCAGACATGAGAAAGGCTCATAAACTTCCCACATGCTGGAAGCTACCCAAGCGAAAAGGTGGGGAAAAGGGAAAGCCAGGTCTCAAAGTGATTTGAGAAACCCCGAAATGCGACCGCTTGGAGGATTCTAGTCGTGGTGGCTTTGGCGGGACAACAGGTTGGCTCGAAGAAAATTCGCCGGGGGGTTGGCTCATCCTAAACCAAATCAGGGGGAGGCAGGCACAGGCAAAAAGCGCACAGGTGGCACAGTCTTTGCCTCTGAGGTGATTTTGATCGGGGATCACAAGCAGCTTCGCCCCAAAGTGAACACGTACTCACTCTGCAAGGTTAATGGCTATGACGTGTCTTTGTTCGAGCGCTTGGTCACCCATGGCAGTGAGAATGTGCAGCTAACCACCCAGCTTCGCATGCGCCCTGAAGTTTCTCACCTTGTCCGGTCCTTCTACAACCAGATCGACGACCATCCCCGGGTGAAGGATTATCCCGCAAGACTTGCTGGAGTCGCAGACTGCTTGCAATGGGTCACGCATTCAATTGAAGAGGATGACCGCGGCCACATCGCTGGCCGGTCAAAGGTCAACTCTCACGAAGCCGAGTTTGCATGCAGACTTGCGCAGCACTTGGTGTACAATGGCATCAACAAAGGGAAGATCACCTTGCTGACGCCGTACACTGGGCAAAAGCGGGAAATGAGGAAGCGCTTGGCAGCCGAGCTTCAGACCTCCTGGGTGCCACGTGGGGCAGTCTTGGAGTCGGACTCCGAAGCAGAGAAGGGCAAAGGGAAGGGAAAGGGTAAAGATCCACAACTCTGGCGAATGATTCCAGGCGTACGCGTGGTGACCATCGATGACTACCAGGGCGAGGAGAACGATGTGATCATCGTGTCGCTTGTGAGGAGCAATGAGAAAAGAAGGCTCGGGTTTTGCAGTATTCAGAACCGCATCATCGTTGCGCTCTCTCGAGCTCGACACGGCATGTATGTGCTTGGCAATGCGGACATGTTTCGGCAGAATGATGATTGGTACAAAGTGCTCAGTAAGCTTGAGGAGAAGGGCCGCATCTCAGAGGGTCTGAACCTTCGCTGCGCCAAGCACCCGACTGATGAGGGCATAGTTTCAGTTGCTTCGGACTTTGACCTCCGCGCGAAACACGGAGGGTGCCATCGCCCCTGCAATGTCCTGCTGCCGCTGTGCGGCCACAAATGCCCCTGGCGCTGTCATCCCTTCGATGAGGAGCACAAGGACGTGAGGTGCGTTTCCCGGTGCACGAGGCCTCGGCCAGAGGGCTGTGCGCACAAGTGCGCCCAGCTCTGCTGGCAGTGCCCGGCGCAGGACGTGTGCGGAAGTCCTTGTGAGGTTGAGGTGAAGACCACGCTACCTTGTGGCCATGAGCAGCACGAGCCGTGCCACAAGATTCAAACCCCGGCCTTGCGGTCGCAGGTCGCTTGCCGCACGAAAGTGCCGGTATCTCTTGCCTGCGGCCACACATGTCAAGTTCCTTGCGCCATGAAGGACGAGAAGGAGATCAAGTGCAGCCACACGGAGCAAGTCAACGCTCCTTGTGGGCACCAGGTTCGCAAGGTGTGTCACACACTTAAGCCTTGTTTGCAGATGTGCGCGAAGACCGCAGCTTGCCGGCACCCTTGCAGCAAGAAGTGCAGCGAGGAGCACAATCATGACAAGTGCCAGCTGTCCTGCTCTGAGTTCTTGCTGTGTGGCCACAAATGCCAGAACCTTTGCGGAGAAGCCCACACGGTGCTTTGTGGCAGCTCCTGCACCAGGATTTGCGCACACGGACATCACTGCCCCAAGAAGTGCTACGAGGTTTGCGTTCCGTGCCAGGAGCCTTGCAGCTGGCGGTGTCTCCACAAGCGATGCACGCGGCGATGTCACGAGCCTTGCAACCGTGAGCCTTGCAACGAGCCCTGCGGGAAGATGCTGAGATGTGGCCACATCTGTCGGGGCTTATGTGGAGAACCCTGCCCTCGGTGCGTAGTGTCTGGATCTCAGCTGGCAAGCTGTGTCAGTCTTGGTGAGCGCTGGACTCGACTTAGTCAACCCTGTGGTTGCTGCTTGCCCGTTCGCCGTTCACGACTTGAGGTGTGAGGACCAACAGTGCCCCTTGAGCCTGGAGAAGCTCAAGGACCTGCCAGATCCTTACTTCTGAGTTGTGTGGCCATCTCTCTCGTATTTCTTTCTTTCTTTCTTTCTTTCTTTCTTTCTTTCTTTCTTTCTTTCTTTCTTTCTTTCCATTGCACGGCAACCGTCCATGTCACAAACGCCAGTCGTGTTTTTTCCTGCGTCCATTGACCAAGGACGAAAATCTACCAGCTCGACTGTGGTCACACCTTCAGCCTCGACATGCTCGACCAGTGGATGGCAGGTCAGAGCTAAAAGTTGTCCAAAGCTTGACTTGAGCTTTGCGTTCCAGAAAGACCTTCCTTGGAGGAGAGCAGCAGAGCGGCGGTCACGTTGCCATCCAAGCGAAAAGCTGCCCAACTTGTCGACAGCAGATCTACACG